GCATTATCGTGACTGCGCTACTGTCGGAGCCTGTATACTACAAGCACAACCCTCGGAGTCAGATGATATTACAACGCACTTGGGTCCTATTACCTCGGCACCATATGTGCTACCGATGGAGCCTATATACAACGAGCACGAGACTTCGAGCCGTATGCTATGACAACCCAACTGGGTCCTATTACATCGGCACCAAATGTGCCACTGATGAAGCCTATATACAACGAGCACGAGGCTTCGAGCCATGTGCTATGACAACCCAAATGGGTCCTATTACGTTGACACCAAATGTGCCACTGATGGGGCCTATATACAACGAGCACGAGACTTCGAGACGTGTGCTATTACAACCCACCTGGGTCCTATTACACTGGCAGCAAACGTGCCGCTAGTCCAGTTCATTGTTTAAAATGCTGTAATTCCAAATGAGCGCAGAAACCGATATAAAAACTGTGCATTGTTTTTAACAAAAGGCAGCGAGAGAAGGTTCAGCGTTGTTCACTATATTCGTGCCTTGGAGGCGCATGTCCCATCCAGGGTCTCATTACACAAAGTCGTATTCATCGGCTAAAATATAATAGTAGTGTGAACATATAGCCTACTGTAGGGCAACCGAATGTTTTTAACTAAACAAGCTTTTTCCTTCTTTGCGTTTTCTTTACTGGGATGGCATCCATGTCGACGCTACAATGAAGTGAAAATGGGAGTTTAAATTGCACCGAATAGCTTACTTTGGCACTTTATTTTGCACAATACCTCTGTTAGAGGGGAATTCCACGGCTCCCTTTCGACAACCTATCGATTAAAGCTAAGGAAATAGATCACCAGTACCAGTTAAGGTGCTGTAGCGGAAAAGGTCCACGGACTGAGTGAACTCATCGTCCGTCAGACGGCGATTGATGTGGTGTCGCTCAAAAAGAAGGCGATTAACTGGGTGATTGTGAGACAGGTCAGACATTGTGACTTTTAACTCGCGTCCCGTTCTAATGAGGTTAACGCGAGCCTGGCAGTTAGTATTACGTAAGCTGAAAGATTTAGAATAATAAAAGCGAACTCCTGCTAAACACGTCTCACTCCTGTACTTCTTGACTTCCGACGTGCGCAGCGGACAAATCGATAAATGGCCCTGTCGTAATTCACCCGTGACAGGTTACACTTTCTGCAGCTGTAGCATACGAAATTGACGTAATGAAGAAGCATAAACTCTGAAAATAAACTATTAAACTCGTAAAAACTATCAAAAGAGCGTCCAAGGAAGATACTCCGGAAATCAGACTCCATGGCCTACGGATTCGAAAATACTGCTCCTACAGCTTATCTGGTTTCCGAAACATTAAAACAATTGCAATATCACATTTGCACAGACTTAAATAAAACTGCAAAGGCAGAAAGATAGCCGGGAATAATGCCATAAAATGGCCATAAACTATTTATTGCGTACTGGGTTTTGCGGGGTAACGTTGCGTACCTGGCTTCTGACACATTTAAACAAATTCAATATCACATTTGCACAGCATTGAATAAAACTGCAAAGCCACAATGACAGCCGGGAATCGTGCCATAAAATGAAACATAACTATTTATTGCGCACTAGGTTTTGCGGGGTAACGGTGCTGCGACTACGTCGCAGCCATAACGCACAAGTCAGCAGAAAATTGGGACGCAACTTGACTGCGAATAACATAGCAAAAAAACGTTCAACAAGAGACATAGCCAGTTACAACTTGCCATTCAATGGATTAGCGGCAGTGTTTCAGGACGTGATGGGTTTTCGCCTGGCAAGTGTTCTCCTTATAAAAAGCCACAAATGTCCGTTTAACAACACTGCCACGTGGCGAATGTGACTCGCCACCGAAAAAAGTCACAGCTCATAACTTCACACTGGCAGCTCAATAAGAATCATCATACTGGATAGCTTGCTCTTCAATTATCTTCCAATGGATCACTCAGGATTCTCATCTATTATTAGTCGAGGTATGACTGCGATATATGGCAGAGCGATTATGTCCAAACAATGGATCCCGATCCCACTACAAACAAATCGTTGTTTCGCATGTTCACTATTGCACAGTTCCAAGCATGGACATATGAACAATTTTCTACTGTCACTACAGTTCCCATAAAATGTCTGTAGAGCTGTACATACCTGATCATGCCTCAATTGGCGTGCCTCGCATAGTCGAGAATAAAATATTTATTTATTTATTTAAGTGCCTTTGCACCAGTTCGTTGACTTTCCCACTAGGTATATGGTCAACCAAATACCATCTACTTTGGTTTTGGTTATCGCTAAGTCCCTGGACTTCGTGACTGACGTTTCGCGCGTTGCACCTTTAGGGTACAGCGATCACGCATGCATATCCTTTCGATGTGCTCTTTCAAGGCACCAAGAGACCGCTGTTGAATTACTTCCGAATATTTGGTGGGCGGACTTTGGTGCAATGCGAACTAAGGCTTCAGTTCTGAACTGTGAGATCTCGATGGCTGACTCTGTCCAGTTAGCCTGGGAAAAATTTTAAGGCACATCTTACGGAGGTTTCCGTTCCCTATATTCCACTCATGAGGAAAAGAGGGTTAAGGGCACAGCCTCCATGGATAGATACCACAGGCAAGTACCTACTCAAGAAACGGTCTAGATGCTGGCGAACCTACCAAGCAGCTCCATCAGCCAGCACCTATGATAGTTATCGAGAGAATAGAAATAAATGTAAGCAACATCGCAGAACTGCTCGTCTCCAGTACGAACAGGGTTTAGCGGACTCGGCCGCAGCTAATCCCAAGAAGCTTTTGCTTACGTTAAAAGACGCAGCGGGGCAAAACTGTCTATACCAGCTTTATTGCGTGCAGACGGGACCCGTGCGCAAACTGACTATGACAAGGCTTGTATACTGAGTGGTCAGTATACTGGGGTCTATGCTCGGGAGACCTCTTTACCACAGGTTGAATTGGTTTCAAGAAATCCAGAGGATTCTTGCTTAGCTGAATCTAGCATAACGGAGACTCAGGTCTTCGAGCTACTACAAGGCATTAATCCCTCTAAAGCTTCCGGTCCTGATTCAATTCATCCGTAGCTGTTGCATGAACTGGCCACTGAGTTGAGTGGTTCGCTCACTGCGTATTTTCAATATCACTGGACAGCTGCAGCCTACCTTCAAAATGGCAGGAGGCAATCATCTATCCGATTTTTAAGGGCCGTGACAGCGCTCTACCCGCGAACTACCGGCCTGTCAGTTTGACAAGCGTAGTAGTCAAGTTGTTCGAGAAGCTGATAAGGGATTCAGTGGAGAGCCACCTGAATAGATTCAACCTTCTCAGTGTTGCACAACATGGATTCCGCAAAGGATTTTCATGTCAGACTAATTTACTTGTAACTCGTGAAAGCTGGGCCGAAGCGATAGACAGTGTCCACACTGTAGACGTGCTATTCGTAGATTTTTCGAAAGCTTTTGACACTGTTCCACATCTTCGGCTCTCACTAAGGTTAAGGTCTTACAAGGTATCTGGTCGCGCCCTTCAATGGGTGTCTGCCTTCCTTGAGGGGAGGGTACAGTGCGTACGGGTGGGGCCTAGCCTTTCGCTCGGGCAAGCTGTCCTTAGTGGCGTTCCGCAGGGCTCGGTATTGGGGCCATTGTTGTTCGCGATCTATGTAACTGATTTGCCGGGAGAGCTAGGGGTGTCATCAATAATGTTTGCTGACGACCTTAAGCTTTGGAATATTGTAGATATCCCGAGGGTCCTGAGGCAATTCAGCGTGCCTTGGATAGGCTCTGGGAATGGTCTATCTTATGGTTGATGCCCATAAATAGGGCGAAGTGCTCCGTTCTCCGAATCGGAGCTACAAATCCTCCCACCCGATATGTTGTCGGCGGTGGTGAACTCCCTGTTGTCACACAGCAGGTTGATTTAGGAGTCTACACGCATCAGCACTTCATTCTGGAGACAACTGGAAGAAGACTGCTTGTCGATGGTTTCGTATGATGTGGTTTATCCGCCGCTCTTTCGGAATCTTAACGGCCAAGTTTTTTGTGAAGCTATTTTTGGCATTCGTCCGACCCCACCTGGAATATTGTATTCAGGCTTGTCCACCATGTCTTAACCGAGACAAAGTGGACTTGGAGAGGATGTTACGAGTGGGCACTCGGTTAGTGCAGGGTCTACGGGGACAGACGTATCCTGAACGCTTGCTCAGTTTGGGGATGTACTCCATGCACTACCGAAGGATAAGAGGGGACCTGATTCTCACTTATCGTATTTTGACAGGTAAGATTGGCCCGGACTTGTCATGGCTTTTTAGTCCCTCAACGTTACCTAGTCTCCGCGGTCACCCACTGAAACTGCATAAACCACGGTCTGATAGGATTAGGACGGAAATTCCTCTAGCGCACCGAGTTATAGATCGCCGGAATTCGCTTCCAGATCACGTGGTTAGGGAACCTACAGTTAAGGGTTTTGCACGCCAGCTCGATGCTCTTGGGTGGCAACAGCAAACCTTCCCTTTTTCCTAGCTGACTCACCTTCACTTTTAAGTTCTTTTTTTACTGACTCAAATATATTGGTATTCCACTTGCTTAGCTCTTACCACTTTCTCTTTTGCCTTCTGCGTTTACTTTTTTCTCTTTCTTACATCACGTAACCGACCCAGCAGGGACTGCTAGGGCAGGATACGTGGGCATTAATTGGTTGGACAGGGTGTGATGCGGTCTTTGTTTTAGGTCCATCTGTATTTCAAAGTTCGCAAACTCCGGGTTTAACGACCCGCCGAAGAAGGAACACTCACGGGATAATCCTATCGTTCCAGTCCCGCTTGAACTTGAATTTGAACGACACCAATAAGCTTACACCCCACTGTAAATTAGTGTCATTCCCTCCTTATGATGCGGCAGTTGTTGCACCACATTATCAAAGCCATGTTTGTTCCATAAGGTACACTACATTTTCCTTAGATTTAGCAGTAGCAAAACAGGTGCATAATTAGATAGCAATAGCACAGCATTAATACAAAAACACCTTAGCACGGACTATTTATCCATGTGTTGTAACTCATCAGCTTCAATCTACCTATTTTGCCATTTCCCCGAATTTGAAAAATTGGCAGCTGTTATTGCGCACCTGATGGCCTCTATCGGTTGTGGCTACAAATGCCTGCAGTTAATACTTTTAGCCCTCAATTCTGTTGTGCTAGTAAGTGCAAAACAATACCGTTTCACTTTTTACAGGGTGGTGGTCTCGGGCTCGTTATACTTGCCAGCATCGTGGAATCTAATTCGGGCCATTACGGCGATACATCCCAGACTAGTTTCCGGACAATAGTCATATTTATTATATGTCTTGGATGTGTCATATTTTTAGTTGGCTTTATTGGATTTTGTGGAACATGCCTGAAAAGTTCGTGCTTGCTTGTTACCGTGAGCCTGCGCCTTTTGCGATTTCCCACTTGCAATTTATAGTATTCTGTTCTCCTCGGTGTTCTATCACTGACAGAAATTTGCTGCGGAATCACTATGTTAATTATGCGTGGACAGGTATGTACGCCGTTATTTATTTAATTCGATGCTTGCGTCCAAAAACAGATTCCTGATGTGATCGGTCAGCAAATAAATGATGTATATGCACAGTACAAGACTGACAGTGCAGTCCGCAATTCAATAAACAGAATGCAAAAAATGGTGCTACTCTGCGGTTAATTGATAACTTTAGATGAAATGTTGTGGACCTGATGGTCGGTGGAATTATGGGCATGTGCCCGATTCTTGCATTGGCACAGAAGGGAAGATTCATAGCTCCGTGAGTAGTGAAATTATATTTTTGCAAATATGAATTACATTTCGTCAAAAACTGTTATGCCATTGTGAGGTTTTTAGTTCAACATAGACCATTCGAATTGTTATAGAAGTGGACAGTGATCTACCTCACAGTTTCTTTTGAATCTGTAGTGGAAAGTCCAAACGAAAAGGGCTTAACTCCCAAAAACAACTCTCACTCTATAAATAAGAATGTTGGACCTAACCTTAGATAAAGCACGATCCTCGGTAGGCCGTCAGTTAGTCGCACAATCTGGTCGGAAGACGAAACTTAGTCGGTACAATAAATCGACGCGTTAGATCCGATGCTCGATGGAGGAGGCTAGCAGACCGACGACGATCAACAGCACAAGACGCGTGGCCGAAACCAGAAGGCGAATCTAAACTCGAAAGCCTTTTGTCGGTTGTGGGTCAGTTGAAACAAAACTGTACCATAATAGTGAGAATGGAAATAGGAAAGTACAGTTGGGAAGTGCGATATGTACAATTGCTACAGATCCATCAACTTTTGACCGTTAATTTGCATCGGGCTTCACTACTTGCCGCCACTTTTCATTGCGTTCACTGTGTTTCTTTTATTGACCACTGCCAGTACAGTTGGCAGAGGCTTATTTATAATCAATGGTTTTTATATAAGTCGTGATCTTCTGCTTTCTCTTTTATGCCGTTATGAGATTCCTAGCGTTATCTGCAAAATAAACCATGGGCCATCTTTTATTTGTTTGTGAAGGATTTTTCCATTAACTCCACATAAATGAACAGCAGTGCATTCCCGCTAATAAAACCTGTGTTGCATTGCCTTCATTAATTTAAGATACTCTGTCCGCACAGATGGACGGCCAGCCGCCCCATTTAGGCGATTTTTGTTCGTTAGGAGAGAAAAGGAAGAAGATAAGAAATGGCGTAATGTATCCTGAGATGCTTTTAAATACAATGACATCGTACACACAACCAGTATATACCTATACCTTTTTACTTATTATTACAATACTACTTTTAGCCAGTGCTACTGACAAACTGCCCTCCGATTGATGATTTTGTTTGCCTCTGACTGTTTTATCGGGACATCTGAGACGACTTTTGGGCTCTTAAAATCATTTTCAGTGCAGCTTAACTACTTTAGTATTGCATGCTTACAATTTGCGAATTGGTTTCCGCTTAATGTGGACGGTATTGGCTACCGTAGAGATTCATACACGCATATGTTAAGGCTGCAAAGGAAGTGTTCTTTGTAACTAACTTGCGTCCTAATTGTGTTTTACTGGGGTCGACATGGGTATAAAACGGTTGATCGGGATGCTTCATTGGTCACTGAAAGGAACCTAGTTCGACCCATCATGCTATGCGGATAGATCTTAAAGCTTTAGTGCAACTGAGATGGCATGAGTGTCACTAATTATTATTCACTTAGATACCAGTTAACTGTTTTCTATCATATCTAATGATAACATCACGCTGAAAGATGTTTGTGTGCTTTGCTTTAGTGCTAGCAATAGATTATGCAGCAGTCACACGTCATGAAGACCATGCAACTGGTCCTGAAGGTTAGAGATTAACACTTTTGTAGCACGTATTTAGGTAACACCGCATAACCTCCACCTTTCTGCTTCCTTGTGTCGAGCATCTGACCAAGTTGGACAAAGTGTGTATGCACATTCATTATCTGAAACCCAAATTAGGGACACTTTCGACAATGTTAAGCTATCTGCGGTCATTTTCTCACTGTTGTTTTGCGCACATCCGAAAATGTCCACAACATTCCCAATAACTATACTGAGTCAGTGCTAGCTGAGTGGAGTTTAGTAAGCATCAAATTGGGAGCACTTTGTTCGACACTATCAACTTAATTCAGGTGGCATGGCACCACAGTCTACTTACTTTTTTGTTGTCGCATATCTCACAGCTGACTGCACTGATAATGCTATCTGGCACGTTTTTTATCACGTTATGGAGAAACAACTTCACGGCGTTAATATTATATATCCTCTATTGTATCGAATAGGAAAAAGTAAGTCGGTAGTAATGGTATTTCAAAAATTTGACCAGATGGGATTGCTGGATAAAACGCTAGGAAATGGGTTAATTTAACGATTGGTTATAAATTTACGTCCACCACTGGCAGCTTCTGAGAAGCACTACCTCGGATGTAACCAATGTCGAGCTGCCGTTTAGTGTCCTCTGGTCATTCGCCTATACCAAAACCGGATTGATCCCACCCCGCAATAACTAATGTGCTTTCTAGCATGAACTATAGCTCGTAGTGAAACAGGGGCGTTGAAACTGAGCAAGCCCTGATTGAGCACATGAATTTTCATGAACTTTAATCGGAAGCTGTTGTCACCGTTGGTTGACTAATCATAGTGTTACCCTAAACACTTTGTGTTTCAAGAAAATTGTTTCTGGACCGAAATGCGAATCTTGGAATCTTTTACTTGAGGCAATAATAGGCCTCGGCGCTAATGTTACTCTATATATTCGCAATTGACAAACTTGTTGGAGCTTATGTGGGAAACTTTTGCTGACACTATGCCCAATTTGCTCAAATAAATTATTATGTACTAGTCAAAACTATATATATATATATACATATATATATATATATATATATATATATATATATATGCATTGCTCCTGCAACTGACGGGCCGCAAACCCCATATCTATACTACTGCAACCCGAACGGAATTCACACTGCTCTTCCGCCACGTTAGGTTCCACAACCTGACTGAAGTGGCGATTGAGCAGGATTCGGGTAATCACCTTGCCCACACAACTCAGTAAGCTGATGCCACGATAATTCGTGCAACATTGTTCGCGCCCTTTACCCTTGTACAGTGGCAGCACAAGAGCATTCTTCAGCTCAACAGGCACCTCCTCCACAATCTATATGGTTGGCGGCATCTGGTTTCGTATTTGCCTGTCACTGTGGCCAGCCACAGAACGCGTGCGCCTACAGAGGGACCATGGGTGGCTTGCGCTGCACCACCCACCGCTCCAACCACACACCCCATATCCAGTGTAAACCCGAAGGAATAAGACCGGGACGCATGTGGTTGGGAGCCACGTTTCATCAACGGAGCCGGCCCACACTCCTTAACAGGCAAACACAAGCACGCGGTATTTGGGAAATCAAGCGTACACAAGGCGGTGGCTGGTCCGTAGTCCGCTCCACACTGAGTGCATGGAACCGCTCTTTGAGCCTAGCACGGCCACAAGGACCGTGCACCCCGTCCCCTCCAGCAACGACTAACTGTCTCCTGGAGCCAGTATGGACGAGGTAGTGGGTAATAGACATGTAGGCACCTTGTCAACATGCACATCAAGCGCAGCCACACCGGGGATATCAAGCAACAGCCATTCACTTTAAACGACAAGCTGAAATAAAATAAATCCAATAATGCATACAGATACGGTGGCATAACTCTTCCCTAAATTACCATATGAAGTAAGTTGGTTAGCAACGAATCCACGATAAGTAAGAAAGGTCCACAAGTTACTTAAAAATGCTACAAACACAACAAAATTACCGAAGATAAGCGCAATTAGCGTAAGCAACGTGGCCAGTTGATAGAATATTATTCAGATAGGCAGAACAAACCAAATAAAGTGGAATGAAATTTATGCAGCTTAAAAAGACCTAGTTTAAGTGTAAGTTGGTTTGGCCCAACTGCGGTGAAGAAGCATCAAGAATGCAACATCAGCCTCAGCATGGGGCACACAATCTATATATATATATATATATATATATATATATATATATATATATATATATATATATATATATATATATATATATATATATATATATATATATATATATATATATATATATATATATATATATATATATATATATATATATATATATATATATATATATATATATATATATATATATATATATATATATATATATATATATATATATATATATATATATATATATATATATATATATATATATATATATATATATATATATATATATATATATATATTGGAACGAATAGCTAGTGGCGCTATTGAGCTAGGAACGAGTAAACCATTGAGCAGGAGTAGCAAAGTATTACCACGGACTATGACTAGTGCGTGCTAGGGTCTCTGCGATCATAGCATCAGCCTGCCGTTTAGGGCTAGCGCACGTTCACTAATTTGCACGAAGGAATACCGTCTGGGCGATTTAAGAGTATAACTTGTAGTGTAGTCCCACAGACCGCTTACACTTAGACGTATTTCTTAGCTGGTGGTGCAGGCCAAGCCATATCCGTTACCTTATTTGGTCCATAAATTACCGAGGTCCAATGTGCGATCACTATCATCAATTGTTTCCGCAATGCTTTTTGGGGTTCCCTCCGGCCCGCGCTAGTTAAGGAAAACGATGATGTCGTTCTGAGCGAATCATCATATCTGCAATAACAATTGTAGTAGGTATGTGCAGTCCTAAGAAACTATGGTGAGTCAATCCTATGAAATGTATGAGAAAATCGAAGCTACGTTATTTGCACTAGCCGCGAAACCATAGGCTACCACAATCATTACACATGTGCTAACCAGCATCCTGTTATATCGCCCTGATATGGAACGAAAACCCAGGACGATAGTAAGCAAGCTGGTTTGGTGCTTATGGAAGTCGTACAGACCATATTATTATATGTATATAATGCGATATCAGCGCCACGCACACACACACACACACACACACACACACCATAGACTGACTACATATGTGTACTTTAGTTTCATGTGCATACCTGATTTTGTTGATCACTCCATCTTATCCTAACTACTCATACAAAATGGACTACGCTGATATGGGTGGACGGTTCACTTATCCTTTACTCGTATTTCACTGTAGGACAATATACACGTTAAATGGTTGGCAGAATCGGACTAACAATGATCTGCGCCACTCTGCCAAGCGAGAAAGCAAGAAAAGCTTGTGCATTGCACCTAGGGCTCGTTGGTCTGAGCTCGCTTCGGAGA